CACGGTGTACATTATACTCACATTGGAGGGGCCCATGCATTATTTTATTGTGCGCGGCCCCTCACCCTTGTGAGGAGAGTGTCAGCCGAGTTGTCAAGCTGATAGCTTGGACTGTACAAAGACATCAACCCATAGAATTTTTCTCTCGTTTTCGTGGTTATGTTTTCTCAAGGCAGGAGGAACTTGCTCCTTCCGTCCAGTCGTCTTTCCTCTTTATTTTAATTTTCATTCAACTTCTCGAACATCATATGGATTAGAACTTAATTCATTCTCGAGTGATTTCTCTCTTTTTTCCTCCTTAATTACATCATTGGAGGCCGTCTCAACAGTGGACACAGGTGGCGAATGTCGATTATCGTGATTCGCATCTCGGGTTTAGATTCTGTTTGGGGATAGTGGATTTGCAGAGTGCATTGCTGGCGGCGATGGCGGAGTCGAAATACGAGACGAAGGCAGTGATATGTGGGTAATTTCTTTTACGGTTTTGGATGTGAGAGGTAGAAGTGTCTGGTGGATGAGCAGAGGTGATTAAATGGTGGATGACGGCGGAAAGAGTGTCGACGGTGGATTGGTGGATTGAGAGGGAGATCGCGATTTTGTAGTCGCAATTGTAGCATTTGGACTGCCTGCAGGGGTGGTTTATTATCAGGAAATATCAGAGACGACGAAGATGATTTTTGCATGGCGCTGTGTGACAGGTTTGGGCAATATGATTGGTGGAGGACGAAGTTGACGGAACCAAGCAGTGGATGGATAGGTTGGTATTTTACTTTGAAGAAGAATGCGGCGGCATGTAGGTTGGGTCGGGGTATGAATTGGACGAGGGTGCTGGCGCGAGATTGATGTCAAACTGACTAGGGATAAGTACGTGGTGTTAGAGGTGCGGGTGCCAGTGGGAGTAGCGGCGATGTGGTTGTGTTGGGTGGAGGCGACTGCGTATGCGGGCTACATTTTTTGGAAAAGATGAAGAGTTGGTGTAGGCTGGTTTAGTGGGTTAATGGGTAATGGACTAGTGGATATGGACCTGGGTTAATTGACTAAAGGTTATTGGATTGGGCCAAAGAACAAGATAATTGAGTTTGAGTTTGGGCTCTTAAGTTCTTAAATTGGGTTGTTTGTTTTGGTTGCATTATTTGAGTTTTATCATTGTTGGGCTGGGTTGATTTATTAGCATAACTCGGGTGACTTTGTTTAATCGATTGATTAGTTTATTGTGTGCTGAAATTCTTTCTCAATATTACGCTAAAATTTTGGGAGAAAAATTCATCACCTATACTCAACTTCTTCATCAACAAACTTCGANTTTTCGTTTACCTATACACAGTAAAGAACTTACTATTTATTTATTTTTGGTATATCGATAATGAAAATAATTGAATCTTTACGATAGTTAAAACTCAAGTCCAATAATTTATGGAAAATATAAACATCATCAAACTTCTTAGTAATAAAAAAATTTAAGAAAATAAGCGGCATAAGACAAATGATGTTCAAGTAGCAATCTTTGAACAAACTTCTCATACGCATTCTCGTTCATAATAATGTCATGTAGATTCTAATTGTTCATCACATCATCATTTTACGATTTCACATCTTGACCAAGTCGCTTAATTCACAAAAAATTCAAAAAAAATAAATAAATAAATAAAATAAAATAAATGACTGCCTTTTACTTCAGCAGACAAAATAGGCATGTATCAAATGTCATTTGGCCCTATACTTTCTAAAAATGTAATCTATAACCATCTACAAAAGCCAATTCCCATGTGGTGAATGACCCTTTTTAGCTTAATCCAACACATTTAATTAATTGTAACTCTCTTTTGTTGTCATATGATTATTCCACACTTTTTCTTGACAATTACTGTACACAAACAATTATGATTGTATTTTTGGTTTGATTTCCTTTCAATTTTTTTAAATATGTTCCTACCATGAAACATTTTGTTGTTAAAAAGAGCAAGGAATAATCAATACCATTTTTGCATATGCAAGTGATAGATAGGCAGTTATTTCTATTACTTAACGTTCTCAAGTCGAAAGAATAATTTTATCATATAGAATATGAGACAAATTAGTTATACTTCAAATTGAAATAGATGAACGAAGGTAGCTCTTACACCTAAAACCAGCCACTATAAATTTATCTATCGTTTCGTATATTAATCTTAAATTCGGACTAATCTAATCCTTATCGATTATCCATTTATTTACTTGTTCTACATTTCACTAATTGGACCTATCTTTGTCATGGTCATGTGGACCACTTCAAAAATTGAAGTATTATCCATTTCACTAGATTCTATTATTATTGCAAATTGTTTTTTTTTTTTAAATTCTTAAAACTCCAAATTAAATGTCAAACAAAAACCTTCCATATGAATGAAGTTGCATTACTTTTTGAATCCACTTGTATTTGGTTGCATGAATATTGTTGTTTCCCCATATTATTTATTTTATATATGGCATAATTGACTTCTTAATTGTTTTAACAGTTTAGTGGCATTTCAATTACGAATTTCCTACTTTTATTGTCAACTCATATCTGTACATGATATGATGATAAGTTGCCAGCTAAACAACACAAACAAGAACAATAAATTGACAAATTCAAACAAATACAATGGAAGAGTCATTTACCTTGACAAATTGTCTTTCTCCACGGAGAAATTTCACTGCATAGCATCTAATTATACTGTTTATTTATTTTCTCAAACTAAATTGTAATAAAAATTTGCTGGTTAATTCTAAATTTATTGCAAATGAGACGTAAACCTAAATCGTATTCAGCATCTACATTTGAAGCACTGAGGTGACAGCCAAGATTTCCATGATTTTAGCATGTCTGTCTACCAAATTCAAGTTAGTGGCAAGCGACTCATTAATGTTCCGTCCTATGATTATTGATGTCTTCAACTGTATGCCCTTTTATTATTAGGGCAATTTGGAATTTGTAGCCAAATTCAGGGTGGAAATGAGAAATCTAGTCGTTGTTTGAAAGTTCGAAAAATGTGTATTTTGTATTGTCAAAAAATCAAAATGGCCTTTTTCGCAAGAATGGCCAAATAAATTGTGTGCTTTGGATTTTATAGTACAATTTAGATGTATAAATATCGATCTAATTTGAATACAGTTATTTTTCAGTAGTTAAGAAAATCATTTTACCAAGAACAAACAAATATTGGTGGGAAAACGCGGAAGTGTTAACTATAGAATTTTACGTTTTGTAAAAACACGAAATTGTAGATTTTGTACACAATTTGTTTACACTCTCAAATGTATATTTTGAACATATTGTCGAATTTAGAAGTGAGGCACATCATTTTTGAGAACTTTATTTCAACGAAGTGTTAAACTTGTGTACTACAAATTTCCAAAAATACTGAAATTTCAATTCTTAAAGGAGGACTACGTCACACATTTACATCCAAGACGAGCGATTGCATCACGTTTGCTACTAGTAATTAGAGGACTTAACATCTTCAAATGTATGCCAAACATTATCATATATTACATTAGTTTTGTTAGTAGAATATAAAGAAAGCTCAAATACAAGGAAATCTACCATATTTAATAGGTTATCATTAATGAATGGATAAATATATTCACATCACAATTTTTGTTACCCACATCGCATTTTAATTGCAATGAATATCTCTAAACTTTTCTTACTTTTACATTTAAGTTCTCAACTTTTTTAATTATTATTATTAACCCTCTATTAATTTTCACATCTTGTCTATAAAGACGATTTTCGTTCAAAATATTTGTTATGAGGACAAAAAAGATATATTTATCTCTTGTATTTTTAAATAACCGAAATAAATAACTTATACAAAAGTTAGACAAAATATTTGCCTTTCTTTTCAATGCACATTAATAAAATATTTAGATAACAATACGATGAACTAAAAGTCAAAAACATAATAGAATTTGAATCATACTATAAGTTCATCAAGCTTGACAGCACGGTGTACATTATACTCACATTGGAGGGGCCCATGCATTATTTTATTGTGCGCGGCCCCTCACCCTTGTGAGGAGAGTGTCNAGGCAAATCTAAAATAAGACGGCAGTTTTACCTCTTTTGGGTTGTCTATTTGCAATACTATAGCCTGTGCCATAATCCTCGGAAGCTTTAGCAGTGACGTCTTCAGGATCTCCAAGACCATAACCAAATGAGCCAGAATTATCTAGGTCAGAAGATGCAGTTTGCCAGATTGGATCACCATAAACCGAGCCACTGCGATAAAAATCCCCATAAGATCCATCATAACCACCACTCGATGTTGCAAATGAAGATGTTGTGATTACACCAGTTCCACTGTTTTGTCCAAATCCTCTCATTCCCAGTGCATAGTTTTCCCCACCCCTGTAGCCAGAAGAACTCCCTCCAAGTGAGGTAGAAATAGGAGAAGTTCCCCAGTTCGATCCATCATTTCCAAAAACTCCAAGTCCACCACTTCCAGAACCAAAGTATGAATCGGAGCTAGCATTAGTTGGAGAAGTATTCAAGCCACCATTTCCCCACACATTTCTAGATGGTGAACTTATAAAGGAATCACCTCTGCTAGTATTAGTGTTGTAACCAATAGGAGTATTATACTTATTTGGATTACCGCCAAAATAGGGGTTCAGAACCCTTCCATAACCAAGATTATTACTGAAGTTTGAACCCCCTCCATAGCCATGGTTCAACCCTTGCTCCACATTCACACCCATCCTGTAAGAAGGAGAACCAAAATGAGAGTATCCACCAAGAGAACTAGCTAATGGACTGTACCTACCGTCCATCCTGACCCCATAGCCTCCAAGTGAGTTCAAATTGTATCCCTGAGCATAGCTACTGAGCAAGTTGTTGGCTCTATTAAAGCCATAGCTGTACCCAACAAGAGAACTCCGGCTAGGCCCCGTTGACAATTCTTTTGGAACAGCCCGCTTTACTTCAACCATCTTACCATTTAACTCATGAAAGGTTTTGTGCAACACCATATCGACTGCATCCTCCGAATCATATGTTATGAAGCCAAAACCTCTTGGCCTTTGGGTGTTGTGGTCATACATTACTACGACATCTGTTATTGTGCCGTACTGATCAAAGTAACTTTTGAAGTCAGTCTCAGTGACAGTTGATGCTAATCCTCCTACAAATATCTTTTTTGTGCGTCCAGGACCTGGTGATCTTTGAATGCTACTAATGTTTCTATTTATTAAATGTTGATCATCCCTTGGAAAAGCTTTCTTCGCTTCCACCTGAGAAGGTGAAAGAAAGTAAAAAGTCCACAATGAGTAACAGTTTCCATTCTATCAACTCGTGAAGAATCAAATATTAGGTCCTTGAAAGTCCAAGGAGTGGAAACTTATCATTCTACATTTTCAGATAAAAAA